GAATTAACACTTAACTTTGGCAACATGGAGATCGTGGTGATTATGATAAGAGCTATTTTGGAGTACAAGGGGTGAAAGACTGATTGAAATAAATTGTATAAAGCTATAATAATAAAGACATATGGGCACCAGGGTAATTAAGTAGGCCAATGGAACAGAGTTAGAGATGCCAGAATAAACCCACACATAAATAGAAACTTTATAGATGGCAGAGGAGGTAATGCAGGAAAAGGAGGGAATAGTCAATAAATGGTGCTGGTACCATTTGTCATCTACATGAGAAAAAAACCAAAACTGGACCTCAAACAAATCAATCTGTTCTAGTGGATTTAAGACTTTGATATGGTTTGGATCTGTGTCCCTGCCCAAATCTCACGTCAAATTATAATCCCCTATGTTGGAGAGGGGCCTGGTGGGAGGTGACTGGATCATGGAGGTGGATTTCTCATGAATGGTTTAGTGCCAACCTCTTGGTGCCGTTCTCCATGATAACGAGTGAGTTACTGTGAGATCTGGACATGTAAAAGTGTGTAGCCCCTCCGTACCTCTCTTGCTTCACTTGGCCATGTAACACGCCTGCTTCCCCTTTGCCTTCTGCCATGATTGTAATTTTCCTGAGGCTTCCCCAGAAGCTGAGCAGATGCCAGCACCATGCTTCCTGTACAGCTTCCAGAACAGAGAGCCAATTAAAATTTTTTCTTTGTAAATTACCCCATCTCAGGTATTTCTTTACAGCAATGTGAAAACTTTTAGTAAAAATCGAAGAGAATATTTTTGTGGCCTCATGGTAATGAAAAAAATTTTAAATAAGACACAAAATCACAAACCTTAAAGGAAAATATTTATGAATTTGGCACCATTAAAATAAAAAAAAACACTTTCGATTGTCAAAGGACACATTAAAGAGATTGAAAATACAATTAGTCATAACACATAACTGACAAAAGATGGGTATCCAGATTCTGCAAAGAACACTTACAAATCAATATAAATAAAAATAACCCAATAGAAAAAGGTTCAAAAAATATAAATAAACAATTATCAGTAGAGAAAACTAAAATGATCAATGAACATATGAAAAGATGTAAAACCTCACTACTAATTAGCGAACTGCAAATTAGTATCCCAATGTAATACATTTCACATCTCTCAAATGAACTAGTCTTTAAGAGTTTGATGATCCAAGTATTAGCTAAGTTCTGGGGAAATTAGAACTTTCATACTCTCTTAATTTGAAGGTAAATTGGTATAATCACTTTAGAAAGCAATTTGGAAATATTTAGTATTTTAAGTTTTTCTAAGGTATATCTAGTCTAAGGTATTTTTCTAAGGTATATCATGCTATTTGTGAGTATTGTGCATACTCACAAATACGTACAGAGGGACAGTTTATAGCAGTGTTGCTGTTGTAAAATTTTGGATATAAACTGTCCATCAATAAGAAAATGGTTAAGTAAATTGTGATTTATTGGAACAATGAATTATTATGTAGCAATGAAAAAGAATTGATTAGAGCTGCATGTGTCAATATGGATGAATTTCACAAATACATGTTCAAGGGAAAGAGCAAGTTGTACAATACATGTTCATACCTAGTTTTCAGTGTACAGATCTTGCACATTTTTATCAGATTTATCCCTAAGTATATTTTTAGTGCTATTGAAAATGGTAGGTTAGGCTGGGCATGGTGGCTTGTGCTTGCAATCCCAGCATGGCTTTGGGAGGCTGAGGTGGGAGGATTGCTCCAGTCCAGGAGTTCAAGATCAGCCTCAGCAACATAGTGAGACCTCCTCTCTACAAAGGAAACAAAAATAGCTGGGCACAGTGGATCATGCCTGTAATCCCATCATTTAGGGAGGCAGAGGTGGGGGTGTAGCTTGAGCCCAGGAGTTTGAGACCTGCCTGGCCAATATAGTGAGACCAAGTTCTCTAGAAAAAGTGGGGAAAAGACAAAAGTAATAAAAATTTAAAAAGTTAGTTGGGCATTGTGGTGCATGCCTGAAGTCACAGATACTCGAAAGGCTGAGGTGGGAGGATTACTTGAGCCAGGGAGGTTGAGGCTACAGTGGGCTATGATCATTCTACTGCTCTCCAGCCTATCAGAGTAACAGAATAAGACCCTATCTCAAAAAAAAAAATTTCCAATTTCTTTTTTTTTTAATTTCGGATTTCTAATTGTTCCTTACTAGTATATAGAAATACAGTAACTATTGTATATTAATCTTACATTCTATAACTTTGCTAAAATCACTTATTCTAGTTAGCTATTAAAAGTGTATTTCATCAGATTTTCTCTATATATGACCATGTCATCTGTGAATAAATTACAGTTTTATTTCTTCCTTTTCAATCTGAATGCCTTTTTCCCACCAAACACTCTAGTTAGAACCTGCATACAAGGGTGAATAGAAGCTACAAGAACAGACATCCTTGCCTTGTTCCCAATCTTTGGGAGAAAACATACAGTCTTTCACATGAAGTATACTGTTAGCTATGGGTTTGTTTTTTTTTGATGCCCTTTATGAGATGGATATAATTCCCTTCTATTTTTTGTTCAGTGCTTTTATTATGAAAAGGTGCTGGCTTCTCTCAAATGCTTTTTTTTTTGCATTGATTAGGATGGTCATATGTTTTTTCATATGATCTGTTAGTATGGTAATTTATATTGTTTGATTTTGGGATGTTAAATCACTCTTGCATTCTTTTGATAAATCTCATGTGCTCATGATATATTGTCCTTTTAAAATATAAAGAGACATCTGATTTGCTAAAATATTGTCAAGCATTATATCTATATTCATATAGGTATATTGGTGTATAGTTTTCTTGTCTTATAATGTCTTACCTGATTTTGATATCAGAGTAATGCCAGACCATTCAGTGATTTGGGAGGTATCTCCTTCACTTCAACTTCCTTGAACAGTTTGTGCAGAATCAGTATTATTTCTACTTTAACTGTTCAACCCTGAGGTTTTCTTTCTTTTCATTTCTTTTTTCTTTTTTTGAGGCAGGGTCTCACTCTGTCACCCAGGCTGGAGTGCGGTGGCCCAATCATGGTTCATTGCAGCCTGACTTTCCAGGCTCAAGCAATCATTTCACCTCAGCCTCCCAAGTAGCTAGGATTACAGGCATGCACCACCATGCCTGGCCAAACTTTATGTATTTTTTATAGAGATAAGGTTTCACCATGTTGCCCAGGCTGATTTCAAACTCCTTGGCTCAAGAGATCCTCCTGCCTCAGCCTCCCAAAGTGTTAGGATTACAGGTGTGAGCCACTGCACCCTGCCAACCCTGGGGTTTTCTTTGTGGAAACATGTGTCAGTCTGTTCGCATTGCTATAAAGGAATACCTGAGACTGGATAATCTGTAAAGAAAGGAGACTTATTTGGCTCATGGTTCTGCAGGCTGTACATGAAGCATAGTGCCAGCATCTGGTTCTGATGAGGGCCTCAGGAAGCTTCCAGTCATGGCAGAAGATGAAACAGTGCCTGTGAGTCACATGGTGAGAGAAGGAGCAAGAGAAAAGGGGAAGGAAGTTCAAGACTCTTTCAAACAACCAGATCTTGTATGAACTCATAACTGAGAACTCATTACTGGGGAGGATGGCACCAAGACATTCATGAAGGGTCTATGCTCCAAACACCTCCCATCAGGCCACACCCCCAGCATTGGGAACTACATTTCAACACGAGAGTTGGAGGAGACAAACATCCAGACTATCTCAGAAGGTTTTTAACTGCATATTTAATTTCTTTAACAGATGAAGGCCTATTCTGACTATTTCTTCTTGAGTGTTCTTGGATTGTATTTTTCAAGAAATTTGTCCATTTTATCCATGTCGTGGCATTTCTATCTGATGTAATTAGAATAGTGTTCATATCAAAGTTCGGTTTCTCCATATTTTTTCCAGGTAACTCTCCCTTTGGTGCTTTTCGGAGCCATCAGACCCACTCTTGATGCTCTGCTCTGGCGGACCTCTGTCCTGGCCCTCAAACTGTCGGACTTCTCTGAGAAAGCAATATGTGTGCTCAGATTTTAGGGATGAGGTGGAGAAATTCAAAGAGAGGGCATTTGCTCTGGAACTGAGGCTACCAAAGTGACCAAGAGAATGCATCCCTGTTCTCTGGGAGCTCAAGGTCTAGTGGTCTTACAGCCTGTAGTAGCACACTGACAGTGCAGCCAGGGACCGGCAGGCTGACTAGAGAAGGCGACTGACTCTCGCTGTGGATGTAGTCAGAAACTGGCTTTCTGCTTCAGGGTGCAGACCCGCCGCTCACCTTTCTTCCCTAAATTTCATGCACCTGCTACCTTCCAGAAGGAAGATCACCCTCTGCTTGGGTTGGTTATGTGCCAAACCTCTGTCCACTCCAAAGGCTGGGAATGACGTGGTCTGCTTATTAAAAATCAGATTCCTGTACCCTAGGCAGGCTGCATCATCGGAGATGGAGTCTAGAAACATATAGGTCTCGCTATATGTTGCCCAGGCTGGTCTCAAACTCCTGGGCTCCAAGCAATCCTCCCGCCTCAGCCTCCCAAAGAGCTGAAATTACAAGCCTGAGCCACTGCGCCGGCCTAAATATACCTTTTAAACCAAATGTTGCAGTAGGTTCTTAGGCATGAAAGTTTGAGAGCCACGGTTGTGAGGGGCGTCACGCTGAAGGCCGTATGTTCTTGCTGTCCCCAGACCGAGCCTGGCCCTTGCATTTCCACCCTGGGCTCTTTCTCGGTGCCAACTTTTCCGAGGCGTCGGGGCTTCCCTCGGGCGTGGCGACCCTGCGGGACGCGGTGTCAAGAGCCAGGCTGGGTGGGAGAGCAGCGGGGCTTGGGGCGTGGGCACCCTGGGATCCCGGGCTCCTGGGACCACAGCGACAGGGAAGGAGGCGGGAAGAAGCCGAAGATACTTTGGGGGACGAAGGGGACGAGCGACGGAGGGAGGAACAGAGTCCAGCCTCGCGCTGGTTCCGAGCACTGGGGACTCGCGGGGAGCGCAGGAGGCCGCGCGGGGAGGTTCGGGGCGGTACCCGCGCCCTCCGCGCAGGGCGGGCTGGGCGCGCTGCCCGCAGCCCCCAGCGCTCGGATAACTCCGCGCCCAGTGCACCGCCGCAGCATGGGGTCCAGCCACTTCGAGCTGATTTTTGACCACGTGGGGCACTACGGCAGGTAGGGGGCAGGGTGGGGAGGGGGCTCCACGCGGGAGGGGTCTGTTTCTTTCCGTTGCGGCGGGGTTCTAGCGCGGTGTTCGCGAGCCGAAAACATCTCCACTCCCTCTTTCCCCCCGCGCAGTCGGGACCCTGGCGTCCAGACGCCGGCCAGGAGCTGGGCTTGTCCCCTAGGAACGGCAGCGGGAACTGGCAGGTGAGCAGAGGCGCTGGGCTTGCTCGGGGCGCGCCTGTTGCCGGGCAGGTGCGACCTGGCAAGTGCTCTCCGTGGCAGCAGATGCTGGAGGCCCCCCCCGCGGAGGGACCGGATCGTACGCGAGCGGGTGCCTGTGCCTGGCCGCCGGTTTCTCGAATCCGCCGCCACTTCCCTAGACTGCTTGCTGCCCGGTTCCGCCCCGCGCCGCCTAGGGTCTCTGTGCCTGGCAGGTGTTCCCCAGGGACAACCGTTAGTTAGAGTTGGTTGCTGTTCATTGAAACTTAGTATGTGCCAGGTACACTATACCGGGCGCTTACACACAGTTCTTCATTAATGTTCACTGCCAAGGAGGTGTTCAAATCCTTATTTTTGTGATTGGGAAACTGAAGCTGGCGGGGTCAAGGGCCCACAGCCAACGCATGGTGGAACCACATTTAACCTCCGTACACCCTCTTTTCATTTGTCAAATGGATTTTAAAAATTTTAAATTATTAATTCATTCATTCACGTACCGAGCTCCTCTGTGTGACTCAGAGTGTTTTGAGAGGGGAGGCAGGCGGGTGAGGAGCCATGCAGCGTGATGGCGGGAGACTTGGAGCTGCATCTGAATCCTGGCCTGCTGCATACCTCTGATGCGATTCTGGGGATACTTTGTGTCTCAGTTTCCTATGCAGAAAATGGGAATCAGGCTTAGTGAAGAGATGAGGTGGTGCTGTTCTTCAAGGTGGAAGGTTGCGGGCATTTTGGTTTTAATTCCCAATGTCTGCAAAAAGGAACAGTTAGGACAGAGGAAAGGGGAGGAAGCCCCAACTCTCGCGTGCTTCCTTCTGCTGCTTGCATCATTGAGCGCTGCCTTGTGCCTGGCTCGGTCATAAGCCGTTGGTACATGTTACTTCCCTTAATCTTCACTACAGCTTTATAAGGTTGGTAGTATCACCCTTGTTTCACAGACAAGAAAACCAAGGTTTCTGCCTAAGCACAATTCTAATACCAGCAGGGCAGAATTGGATGTCATTGGATGCCCATCACCTCCACAGCCCCCAACCATGGTGCACTCCTGAGCACGGTTAGGTAGTGGCCCCTTGGCTGGGCCAGGCCCTTTATGTATGAGCTCATTTTATTCTTCTGGAAGCAGAATAGCACAGAGGTTAAAAGTTCGAAGGCTGGATGTCTGGGTTTCCCTTCTGGTGCTACCACACATTAACTATATATGGTCGTAAGCAACTTATTTACCACTTTCTCACCTGTAAAATGGGGCTAATAATAGCAGTACAAATGTTTTCAAAGAGGAGTAGTGAAATGTTTCGATGAGGACTCAACGTGCAGTTTCTCATCCTCACGGTAACTCGGTGAGGTAGGAGGTGCTAACACCTTAGCTCCCTTGTGTTTTTTAGGGATTAGCTGAGTTAATCATATCAGTTGGTGTTTCACTAAGGTGCCCTATCAAACAGATTCCTCAACTGGAAGTCTGTACTTCTCCAGTAACTACCCACAGCAGGATCTGTTCCATGAGGTCATTCAGGGACACAGGCAGGTGGGGCAGCTCTGTCATCCATGGCATGGGGCTCCCTGTCTGTGCTTGGGGCAGCCACTCCCCCATGGCGACAGCTCACCATGGTTAACAGGGGGCAAATGGGTTTGAGGAGACAGCTCTTGGCTGGCCACCATAATGTATGCAAAAGTCTTCCTATTCAGTAAGTCACGGCTATCACTGTTACCTGAGTTCCCATTAGTGGGTAGGGTTGATTATGAAAGCAGCTTACAGGAGGAAAATAACAAACCAATGCTTATATAGCAGAAGGTGAAGACGGCATGACTGTAATACAGTACCCCATTTTTCTCAGGTATTTTCTCTAATCGATCTCTATTCTTTATAAATAGAAAGGGAAGTTATCATGATGTGCATTCAGTCCTCTCTTTAAGGAAACCTAGTGAAAGTGTTAAGTAGAGCAGTGGTCCCAACCTTTTTAACACCAGAAACCATTTCGCGGAATATATTTTTCCCACAGACCTGTGGTGGGGTTGGCAGAATGGTTTCAGGATGAACCTGTTTCACCTCAGATCCTCAGGAATTAGTTAGATTCTCACGAGGAGCATGCAACCTAGATCCCTCATGTGCAGTTCACAATGGGGTTCATGCTCCTGTGAGAATCGAATGCACCACTGAGCTGACAGGAGGCAGAGCTTAGTTATGCTGGGTGGCCGCCGCTCACCTCCTGCTGTGTGGCCCAGCTTCTAACAGGCCATGGACTGGTACTGATTTATGGCCTGGGGCTTGGGACCCCTAAAATAGAGAACTCTGATTCCCTCTCATTTCTCATTGGTCATTTCTAGAGTAAGGAAGCCCTACTGTAGTCACCTTGAAGAGGGGAAAATGGGATACCTGAGAAGAATTAAAATACAATTCCAAGATTGGTTCTGAAACCATTTCATAGTTCCATAAACTTCACAGCTTAAGCTCCCTATGAAAGGAAATTGAGGAGACTGAGATTCAGGCATCTGTATTGGGAGAATCTGAACCTGGATCCCTAAGCTAATTGTCCCAGGATAAAAGGAGAGACAGTTTAAAAGTTGAGAGTTACAATGTGGAGCCTGTGGGAGACCTTCACTGATGGATAGAGGTAGGTTTTGTTTTTCGATATATAGAGCTTTTCTGGCTCTTCTTTTTTGACTTCAGCATATGAACATCCGAACAGCTACCACTTAGATACAGCTATGGTGTGCTTTCCAGGTGTTAACTCATTTCATTCCCACAAAGCCCATTGTTCAGATGAGGAAACTGAGGCACAGAAAAGGTAAGGGTCTTGCTCATGGTCCCTGGTGGTAACAGGGCCAAAATCAAACCTTGGCAATCTGGCTCCAGAGTCCATCCTCTTAACCACCATGGGCTCCATCAGTTATGCTTTTATGCAGAATGGTATAATCTAGGACTAAAGCAGTTTTCTTCATCTGTCACCCAGATTGCATGGGTCCACTCCCTGGGACTTCTGGCTGCCCTTGCTTTTCCTCACCTCTGGGTTTTCTGCTGATTGTTTTGTGTGATTCTTTTTACATTAGTGTGTTGTATCTATAAGCCTGTTGTCCTGGTGGACCCCTAGGCTGGGTACATGAACGACACCTCTGAGGGCCAAGAATCTTTGTAAAGGAGAGAGTGATAGAATGCTAGATGCTACTTTGGGAGGCCAAGGCAGGTGGATCACATGGTCAGGAGTTCGAGACCAGCCTGGCCAATAGGATGAAACTCCATCTCAAAAAAAAAAAAAAAAAAAAGCTAGGCACCTAAAGAAATAGGGTTTGGTTTTTTTAAAGAGGTTATTCTTGCAAAAAGGAAAGGGGAGTTAGAATTGAAGGAATGCTTAGGACTTTTCTAGCACATGGAAAGCATATTTATGTGAACTAGCATGGCTTGATTGGGGGCCACTTAGTGGTTTATTATTTCTGGGGTATAAAATATGAGAGTGAGAGAGGTAGGAGGTTACAGTCATCTCCACAAGTGTTTCTGTGCATCATGCTGCAGAGTTTGGGTATTGAGTAGGGCAAGGGGGCCAGTGAGGACCTCGTAAGGGCCCAGGTGAGAGAGAAAGGGGTCTGCATAGTGGGAGTGTGGGCAGGGAGGACAGGACAGTATTAGCAGGTGGAGTTGATGGGAACTCTTGGCCCTAAGGCATGAAGGAGAAGTGAAAGGGACCACATGCCCCTCCTAGCCCACCTCATGTCCCTTGCCCCAGATTTCTAGTTTGTGTGGGTGATGGTACCCTAAACTCAGAAAGTTACCCTCCAGGAGGGCAGGGCTAGAAATAGAGTTCAGTTTGAGATTGGTTTACCTTGAGTTCCTTGTGGGAATTCCAGGTGGAAACATCCAGTGGGAAGGTGAGTAGATACTCTGTTGCTCAGGAAAAATGCCCCCTTGTCAGTATGGATCAGGTGGCCACCCAGGGCTGCAGTCCAGCTGGCAGGTGCCTTATGGACAGATTAGGCATGCCTTGGCACCTGTTCCAGCTGTTCCTCGGCAGGGGCGTTGCTGAAAACTTTTCCCTCTCCCTGGGCCCTGTAGATAGAAAACTTTTAAAGTGATATATTACATCTATGCAAAGAAGTGTGCACCATAATCTACGAGCCAATTAATCGTCATACAGTGAACACACCCGTGTTACCCCTGCCCAAGTCATCTCTTCCCTCTGTCCCTGTCCCCCAAGCTCAGTATTGTCCTTACATCAACCATACTAAACGTTACATAAGTGGGGTAAAAAGCACGTGCTCTTTGGCTTCTTTTGTTCCACACTGTGTTTGTGAGATCCACCCATATTGTGTGTCACAGTAGTTGGTCAGTTTTCATAGCTACATAGTATTTAATAGCATGAATATTTTATGGTTTATTCATTTGCTGTCAACAGACATTTAGACTCTCTCCAGGTCGGGCGTATTATAATTTGCCTTTCTTGCATATGTCTTTTAGGGTATGGTTATGTGTCGCCTAACGACAGAGATACTTCCGAGAAATGCATTTTGTTGCTGTACGAACATCACAGGCTGTACTTACACAAACCTAGATGGTACAGCCTGCTACACACTTAGGCTCTGTGGCGTAGCCCACTGTTCCTAGACTATAAACCTGCACAGCATGTTATTGTACTGAATACTGTAGGCAGTTGTAACACGATGGGAAGTATTTGTATACCTAAACGTGGAAAGCATACAGTAAAATATGGTATTAATATTATCTTATGGCACCACCGTTGCATATGTGGCTCATCATTGACTGAAACATTGTTTTGTGGTACATGGCTGTACTTGTGCCTGCATTT